CGACAGCGAGCCCGGCAGGTCCCTGTAGGGCGCGGCTGCAGCCACAGTGACACAGAGAAGAGCCCAGTTAATGCTCCATCCAAGGCCCCACAGCTCAGCAAAGACCCTGCTGCACCCCCATTCCCCCATTCCCACGTGCAGGACCTGCTCACCGGCCTGTCCTGTTTAACAGATCTTAGTCTGGTCCCGTGATGCCCCAGGACGCCCCTGCCCCTCGGAACTCTGCTGATGCTCTCTGGAGGAGAACAGCAGTCCCTGTGAAGTTCCTTACCAAAGAGCTGGTGGCGCAGCACTTCATTCTCATGTAGAGGGTGAGGCAGGAGAGGGTTCGGGATGGTTCCAGCTGGGTATGGTATCCGGGTGAGGTGTGATCCCGAGGCAAGCGGGTCGATTAGAGGGTGAACAGAGGCTGAGGCTGGGAAGAAAAGATACCACAAGATAACTGTCTCAGGCTTTGTAGCAAGTAACACACAGACAGGCACAAGGCCTCACAAAACAGATATGGAGGGAGGATCAGAGTGTGTTAGGGATGGGATGATTTCACAGCTAAACAACATAGTGTCATCTCCTTCTGAGTGTTACTCTTTTTGCCTGCATCGAACTGCATGTGAACTAGTCTAGCAGAGCTCTGTCCCTACACTCCTCAGGAAGAAATGCTGTTCCTTTAGAAGTTCAGCAGGGTTCTGCGAGGACCTGCTCTGCAATCAGATCTGCACCCCATATCACGCCCATCTGTCACCCCAACCACCCTTCACGTGCATATTTGTACTGGGTGCTTTCTTTTCCAGGTCTTATCCAGCACAGATTCTCTTTCTAGTGGTTTGGACTCCCAGCCAAACTAGGTGCCCAGACTCCCACCCCAGACTAAGGTGCCCAGCCATGGATGGTAGGGAAAATGGACACTCACTTGTACCTTGTGCCATCTCTGAGCAGTTGCTCAGAGCCAGCATCTGTGACTGACACCAGACTCTACTGACTGCTCACAGCACCTGAGCAGGCACAACACTTTTTTCCTATTGCACTGTAACTTGGGCTTTACTTCCCTGAGATTTTAATCTTTAAACATTTTACTCTGCTTTCCTGCAGGATGTGGAAATGGAAGGGATCACCAATTCTGAAGAACAGCAGCCTCCAGCTCCTTATGATTAGCCCGCCTCCTATCCCATCCCATCCCACTATCTGCAGCCACTGAAAACCAGCATTTCATTAGTCCTAAGGACACTGCCAAAGCTGTTCTAGCAGGGCTCCTCCTCCCTCTGCAGACTCCAGTGTAAGGAATGCAGTTCACAGCAGCACCACCCAGGCAGTCAGTGGGACTACAGCACCTGCACTGTGGCTCCACAGATCCGTAACAAAAGGACAGTGCAAACAATTTTGCTGGCCACTGTTCAGCAGTGTCAGTGCCTTTGGTGGGATGAGACTGGGGAAAAGGAAGAATGACCAAAATGTTGGGCTCTTCTGGCTGAAGATCTATGGCCTCAAAGTTTAATCTTGTCAGCTTTTAGGGTTCCCCAGGGCCAGGGGGAGGGAGCGCAAGGAAGGCACAGTAGGGCAGAAATCAGGGCTTTGCACAGGGCACCAGCACCACACGGCCCTTACCTGCGTGTATGGCATCCTGCTGGTGCAGATGGAGGTGGGAGTGGATGTGGGAATGCTGATGATGATGAGGTGTCACATTGAGCATCTGCAGCCGGGCCAGAGGGTCGTTGCTGAGC